ATGGCTCACGGGCCCACCCGCTCCACGGCATGTGGGATCTTCCCGGACCGGGGCACGAACCCATGTCCCCTCCATCGGCAGGAGGACTCTCAACCACTGCACCACCAGGGAAGCCCCTCATTCAACTTTTTAATGTTTCCCATTTAATAGCTGGTTCCAACAAGCTGAGGTAATAGGTGCTGTACCTTCAATACTTTTCTTATTCAGTGAATGAACATGCACATTTATTCTTTAAGTCATTGCGGTCTGAATGTTACCCAGGCCATGCAAATGATATTGTTCACCATACTGTCTCTTGTAAACTCATAATTGCCAAATTCACCAGATATATTTCAGTTCACTACTTATTGATCACTTCTGCTTGCATTTACTACTTTGGAAGTGTAGAACCCACATTAGAAGTCTTGAAATTAAGCCTTTATTGCTCTTGCCTCTGTGACACACTTGTAAACACAACGGCTTTGTTTCAAACACTCTCTGATTATATACCTTCCTCTTCATTTCTTTGTCTTTGAGCACAGACCCTACTTATCTCTGACTTGAACTCATTTCTTCTCCCTGCCTCCATCCTTCTCTCTCTCGGGTACCCTGCTCCTAAATGGCAGCTCATCTTTGTCTCTTAGAAGAAAGTCCATAGTCCCCCATTATCTGGCCCCTCCTGCTTTGCAGCTACATCTCCACCTAATCCCCAAACCAACTGGCTAACATCACCATCACTCCCTCCCTAAAACTTTCATATTCCTGTAACAGTTAAGGTTATTAGATCCTTTTTCATATCCTACACTCTCTTTTCTTTTGCAGATGCTATTTTATCTGTCTACATTTCCCCTCTTTGTTCTACATAATAATACTTTTTCATCAATAGATTTATCCCAAATACCAAATCTCTTCTTGTGCTACATTAGGTTCCCCTTCTTATTATAAAAGAGGCTATAAATATCTATAAAAAATACTCTTACTATATGCTTTTGTATTCAGCAGCACCATAAACAATCAGGGACTTTAGGAAAGTTGATTATTTTAAGTTTTTGAGATAAAACTGTAAGTGCCCTGAGGGATACCATTCTCTATTAGATCTGTTAGTATTCTGAGCCTAACAAAGTATGAAAAATATAGCCAGCACTTCTCATTTACCTGCTGAATAAATATATAAGTGCAATACAAAATAATATCAAAACTATAGTGAAAAATATTCATTCAGTTGAATTCCCAATATATTGATAAGGTAATTAAAAAATTCGTAAGAAATGATCACTGTCAGGGCTAAGTGGGATTATAAGATGTCTGAGGCACACTCAGGGAAGTAATTTCAAACGTATTCCTAGGTCAGACAGCATTTAAATTCCTTAAGTAAGAAAAAGCCACTGGCATTGAATTTGTCTGCTTTTCTGTGATAACAAATAACTCTAAAATCTCAGGGCTTAAAAATGTGTTTTACTTCTTATTTATGTTATGTGTTTGCACCTGCAGATTAGCTGTGACTCTGCTCCACGTGTCTTCTCCATGATGCCCAAGGTAAAGGAGAAGTCTCTGTTAGGGTCATGTTAGTTTCATGGCAGGAGGAAAGTGCAAGAGAAGTAATATGTGATTCTTCTTGAAGCTTCATTTCAGCCATAGTGTATATCATGCTTGCTTATATGCCAATGCCCAGAGCAAGTCATATCATCAATTGGGTGGAGATGCATAATCCTTCCACTGGAAGCACCACACTTCACATGGCAATGAGCAGTGATATACAACCTCTTAAAGGGAGGGGAGATAAAGATTTGTGAAAAACTATACATAGGCATTGAGAAATATCGTAAGAAATTCACAGAGGGAGTTAAGGGGAAAAAAAAGATCCTTAACATTTGGTATGGCTGGTACTATAAACTAGCAAGGATACCTTTTAACTAATTGTTGAAAAAATAGACTATGCATTGGAAGAAAGGAAATGTGAGGGAAAAGTTGCAAAGAGCAAACAATGGAAAAAAGAAGAGCTTCTTCCAGAGCCAGGACTCGGCAAGAAAGCAGTGAATGTGAAGAAACATTTGACCGGAGTATTTGGTTGGGACTTCAATATACTTAGAGATGAAAGGAGTTGAAAAAGGTCCATGATAAAGTCCAAATTAGCAAGAATAAAAATTAGTAGCAAATAAGAGAGAGGTATGCATTATAAATTGGGGAGAAAAGCATGTAATAAGTCAAATATTGTAACTGAAGGAAAATAAGATAATGTGGATAAAGTTTGTGCTTTTATTTTATTATTAATTTTTGCAACCTTAAAGTTTTCATTGAACGTCTGCAAGAGGTTTTGTAGGAGGTAAATAATAAAGGATACTTTTAGAGAGGGCTCAAGATTTAAAAGGAGTAGGTAAGCAGGACAAGAGTCAATAAGACTGGAGAGAATGATTTTTCTGACTGAAGTCAAGGCAAAATGTGAGAGAAAAGCACAGCTGTCTGGTGGCATTAGTCAATGCATTCCCTTGACAGGGTCCAACTGCATCATCCAGAAAGGGGAATAAATCAATGGTTGATTTTGTGAACACTGTTATTTTGAAGAAATTGGTTCCAGGAATTCTAAGATATGGGAGTTTGTGACCATAACAGGGAAATGTGACTAATAAGAAGAAATGGAGATAAAGCAGTGTTCTAGTAAAGAAGGTCAGATTAGGACATATAATTGATTCTGTTAGAGGAAAAGTGGGAGTGGAATGAGGATGGTTTGCTTTGGAGGCCAGTGTGATGCAGTCACAACAGGATATTACATACATGATTGATGTGAGTTGCACAAAAGAACACATTCCAGTCTTCATCTCCTTATGAACCCAAAAATAATAAGTATAGATATAGAAATAAATATTCCAGATTGAATGCAGATCATGATAGACTTGAAGATTCAAACTTTATTAATTGAACCCACTCATACCCAAATAATCCTTCCTTTAAGAAAAATGTAATCACATTTAAACACTCACAGATAATCTAGTGTGGTGATAGATTAGAACATGTTATAACTATATTAAAGTAGAAATTACAAGAGCAGAATGGATAATAAAGGCATAATATGCTACACCTGCCAGATGACGTTTCCTTTTCCACATCAGACTCAAATTAATGTTTTAGTGTAAAAATATATGCGTAATTTTACATATACATACATATATAACATACAGCATAGTACATATTTATATACTGCTTCCTATAAACTTAGTCCTTTTTAAAAAACTTTATATTATTAACTAATATTATAACCCACATTTTCATAAGAGCATACTGAGCACAAGGTCTTGCCCATGACAAAATACATGTATATTTCCTACCTTAGATTCTTTCGGAAACAAAGGACAGCAGATGGTTAAGTCAATACTTAAGAAACTAAATAGCCACTGTAAGTTACCTTTGTTTATTGTACATAATAAAGAGGGAAAGATATTAGAAATACTTATAGATATAAAAATAGATATATAGATACAGTTACAAACATAGTACTCATCTCCATATTTAAACCTATTCTTCATGCACTGAAATCTTCCTCTTGGGCTGAAGGCCAAAACTTCCATCAACGATAACACTCGAAAAATACCAGATTCTGCACACCAAAAAACGGCTCTCAAAGTCTTCTCTCAGAAGGCCTGGCACTTTGGACTCACCCATGAGCATGTGCAGTTTCTACCCACCTGCCTAATAACCATCTGGTCTATTCCATTATGTTATCCATAAATCTCAATTAATTATAGACTTAGAGAAGGAGAGAAAAAAATTCTCAGTGATTTAATATTCTCTTTACCTTTCAGCATGAATTGTGTGGTTAAAATACCTTCACTCCAGGAAAGGAAAAGCCAAATAACTCTTATTCCTGGTGTTGTTCTCCAGTCTCTTCAAGAAACTGGAGAGATAGCTCATGGTGGGAGGTGCATAGGATATGGAAGAAGATACTGATTTATGTTTCCCCTTCCCAGCCCTAACTGATAGAAAACTCATGGCTAACTTTAAATTCATATTTTGTCTATTCCAGAAAAAACAAATTACATTCTGCTTCTAGAATCCCGTTATTATGGTTATTTCTAATTTATTTTAAAACAGAAGAAAAAAGTCAAAGTGCATTTGTGTAGTGTTACTACTAGTATTTCCATATGGCTGAAGCATGGGCTACCTATGAGCAGATGGTTAGAGAAGGTGGCTGATGATCGTAAAAGACTTCCTATACCATGAAGAGTGTTTTTTATTTTGTCTTGAAGGTAATGGGAGACACTGACAATTTTATGTGTTGAAAGGTTGATAGGACAGAAAGTTGGAATTGTGAAACTGAGAGTAGAGAAAACAAACAACTTATAGCCACACAAGAAAAATACAAAAAAGAATTGGAAAGGGCAGCACTCATGGAGAGAATAGTAGGGAAAATAGAGTATATTTGATAGATGTTAAAGAAATACAGTGCGCATCTTGGTGACACATTAGATTACCAAAGTGGAGATAACTAGGATAACATTAATCTATCTTCTGCCTCACAGAATGTCATGTTAACCCAGGCATGCAATAGAGTAAAAAGAAACCAAATTTGGAGGAAGAGATGTCATCTTGATGTCATAAACTTAGCTATTAACGTCCATTAATATTTCAAAGGGTAACTATGTATTCAATTATTTAATTTGGTAAAACTTGCAAATGCTGTTAATTAGTTGAAGCAAGTAATTAATGTAATTTAAAAGTAAAATCTAGTATCATACTTTACTGTATTTCATTTGACATACTTTCAACAACTACAAAGCCAGAAAAAGGCAACTACTCCCTTATAGACTCTTTGTAAAGGAGGATGACAATGTTAAATAAGTCACAGATCCTGCCCTTGAGGCTGTAATACAATGTAACAGATGCTACCCTAGCGCTGAGGAGATTTCCTCTAGGTATAGAGGAGGTTTATTAGGGAAATCTTGAGTGCTGAGTTTACATGGTTGCCCTTTTAATAAACATATGGCTAAATACAACAAAAAGATACATACTAATTATTATCAGCTTACCATTAACAATAACGATGATATCACGGAAGTCAATTTCTCCCCTAGCCTCCACTCTTCCTTCACACCTATATATACCTTCATCACTTTTATTGATGTTGAGAATCTGCAGATTATTGTTGGCTAAGATAGCAAACCGATCTGTAAGGTAAGCAAAGGGAAGAAAATGATATCAGCAATTGAAGGCAGAGTCCAGCATGCTTTAAATTGCTAAGTGTTAAAATATGGAACTTGTCTGACACTATCAAACTTTTCATCAACAAAAAAATTTAAATTTGAAAGTAAAATATAATTTCATGACTTCAGTTTTTCCACTCTACACTGCCTGGTTACACATTTTTTTCAAAAATACATTCAAGGGCTTCCCTGGTGGCGCAGTGGTTGAGAGTCCGCCTGCCGATTCAGGGGACGTGGGCTCGCGCCCAGGTCTGGGAGGATCCCACATGCCGCGGAGCGGCTGGTCCCGTGAGCCGTGGCTGCTGAGCCTGCGCGTCCAGAGCCTGTGCTCCGCAACGGGAACGGCCACAACAGTCAGAGGCCCGCGTACCACACACACACACACAAATACATTCAACACTTTATTTCCACATAAAATGGTTAGGCTATTATTTTGCCCTTGGTACTTTGAACGCAGAAATGATACACAAAAGAACAAAGCCAAGAGATCAGATATAGCAGACACAAAGACGTTTTGAATGTAAATATGTAGCAACTTGGGTAAGGAAAAGGGTTAGAAAATTGACTGAATATCCTTCCTCACACAATAATTAAACTAATAATTGCACATACCCTGAGAAGGCAGCTAAAATATATAATAATATTCTAGTCATGTAGAGGGCATATAAAATGGTCATACCTCAGATATATTTGAAAGATTTTTTTTTCTAAATGCAAGATAATCCATTTTAGGAAGAAGCAGATTAGACTTCATTAATTTTACATAGATTCCATTTTATGTGTGAGTATATGCACATGCATAAATACAAAACTAAGCTGTTATAGGGCATGCATTAGCTGATTGCTAAAAATAACCTGGCTAGCCTAAGTAGCATCTCAGCCTGACAGTATTTTCCATAATGCCTGGCTCAGTTTTTAATCATCACAATTTCGTTGCAGTCTTTGCAGTCTTAACACCTTTCCCCTTCCTATCAAGTAAAGAATGTTCTCATATCCAGTTCTGTTTTGAAACATGTTATAAATGTAATATACTAAATTTCATTAATCAATTCGTCCATAGATATCATCGAACATCATCTGTTTGCTAGGTACTGTATTTGGATACATTGATGAATAAGAGAAAACATCCTTGACCCCTTTGGGACTTTTGGTAAGGTAGAAATGTCATTAATTTAAGGTACCCACCTCTGGATATCTACTGTTAAAGCTACTTTTGGGGACTGTTCCAGTATTTATTGTTCTTCCCCTATTTGCTGGCTTAATAGAAGTATTAGGGCAAACACAGAAGCCACATGAGAAAATGGTCCAGCCTCCCTCAACCTGGATCACTGAAAGGATGGAAGGGTAGAATCCTGCCTCTCCCCCTGCTGCCAATTGGACTTTGCGTGAGTGAGAAATAAATTGCTATAACATTAAGCCATTCGTATTTGGGGTTCATTTTTCACAGCAATTCCTTAAGTCAAGGTAGAAGTTTGGGTTTTAAATACAAATAAGGAAGTTATCAGACTATAGAAGGTCATTAAAATAGGTGAGCATGTGGTTATTGATTGTCTAAGAGATAGTTAATAGGGAATGGAAATGTGTAGATTCTGAGGCTACCTCAGAAAGAAAATACCAGTTACAAGGCTACAGATACATAATTTTCAGCCCAGGAAGTATAAACTTTCCCAAAATATTTATTTCACCTTTTTGGGTGACCCTAAGAAGAGATACAAAAATGTTTATGCAGATGCTTTCCCCTGGTAAATTTTCTCACCAAAGAAGAGACTGGAGAGAAAGAAAGGCAATCTGCAAGAAATAGTCCTGGAATAACTCAGAACTCTTAAAAATGCATGTTATTTCAAAGTAAATGTTAAAAAACTCTATTCAAATGTGTTGCTGGAAATTAGAATGAGCAGCAATTACAGCTGACCCTTGAACAACACAGGTTTGAACTGTGCAGATCCACTTATATGGGAATCTTTTTCAATAGTAAATACAGTACTACACAATCCTAAATTGACTGAATCTGAGGATGCAGAACTGAACCACAGATATGAATGAACCTCGGATAAGGAGGACCAACTATAAATGATACTTGAATTTTTGACTGCATGTCGAGTCGGCACCCTAACCCCTGTGTTGTTCATGGGTCAACTGTATGAATTAAAAAGTTCAAATTTAGAGAGGGATGCAACGAGTCATAACTAAATCATTGTAATATTATATTTTCTAACTCACTAAAATATGTATCATCCTTAACTAAAAATTTTAAGTGTATGTGTAAAGTCCATGGAATGATGTTAGCAAACTCTCAAACCAAAGAGCATTATTAATATGTATTTACAAAAAGCATTTGAAGAAAACACTGCTTCAATCAATCACACGTAACTATGGATATTGGAACTATTTAACTATTAGAGATGATCTATTTATCTCAGTTTTACAGACATCCACATTTTCATTATTGCAGTAAGAAAATAAATGATATCAAATAATACACAATAAGGTGTGTGCTTTATGTTTCTTTAAGCAGGTTATTTTTTAAAAGTCCCCTTTTCTTCTCATTCCACAGCCACTGAATGGTTTGCCTCATCTACTCCTATACCTTCAACCTATATTTTGATGATTCACAATTTTTCTTCAGACCAGATGATTCCTGTGATTCCAGAATTGTGCAAGAGTCAACCAGATGTACGAACTTAGAAGGGTTGTAAATACTTCAATCTCAGCATGTTTAAAATTTGGCTCACTAGCTCCTCTTGAAATTTCTCATATGGTACTCTCTAGTTCTGTCTTCACAGTTCTTTACATTGAGCTAAGTTGCCCAAGGCAAATTCCTTGAGTCATCTTTGACTTCTCCATCTCTCTTAGTGTGCATGTCCAATCAAACCCATATCCTATAACTTCTCCCTTTATCATTTCTTAGTCTAGAATCTACTTTTCCCTCAGCAATTATTTCATTTGGATTTGAACTGTTCTCATTGCCTGGAGCTTGGCCTTGACTCTCATCCAATTCATTCTCCTCACTGAAGCACTGTTCTCAATACATATTAGGTCATGTCACTGCCTTAATTAAAACCCTTTAGTGATATCACCTTTGGATAGATTCTAAACTTCTCAATAGAGACGTCAAGGCCATATTGACTTGGCTCAACCTTCTTTTCCACTTTCCTTTCTTATTAGTCATTATTACAAATCCTAGTTATTGTAAGTGTTCTACTTGTACTTATTCATAAATTCTAGTTATAATGAACTTAATTCAGTTTCTGAAACGTGCCACTCATGCTTTCACCTCTGGGCCATTGCATATGGTGTCCTCTCCTCTTGAAAAGCCCCCACCATTCTCTAGCTGGCTAATCCCTTTTCATCTTTAAAGGCTGCTTTTCTCTCTCAGCAGGCACCTTGAACACTCTCCTCTGCCCTAACTAGTTCAGGTGCTCTTTCTTTATCATCTTCTATCACTGCACTTTCCTTATCATATACCTCAACATACCTTGTTTTCATTGATTGATTTTTTCCACTAGATTATTAATATGTTGAGGGTAGTGGACTTGTTCATTGTTTTAACCATGAATTGCCACCTTCTAGTACACTAGATGAAATATACTAAGTGTTCAATAACTGTTGAATGACTTTTTATACTGGAAGTAGATTTCATACAAATTTTATTGAACAAGATGATTTTATCCATAGTTTTTGATGCCAAAAGGGTACTTCATTAGAAAATGCTCAAAACATTTAGGAAGTTTCAGAGATAACTTTCAAAATGGCTGAGGTAGAATGGCAACTGCAATAGCATATCCTTCCATCAGGGTTGAGACTAAAAGTCAGGATATTCAACTTTTATAACAAAATGTCACCTTTACTCCCTAAATACTTGGATTCTTTAGCATTTGGATTTCCTTTCAACAAACAACATGGTAAACCTCCACTTTGAGTAGTCTGTGGGAACATTAATTCTGCATATTTGTCACACAGCTGCTACCAAAAGCATGGTTAATAAGATGGACATTTTCAAACCTTCATTGTATCATATGGAGACTTTAAACTTTATTCCTATGCCACACTAAGGCTTCAGAAAGTTATCTGTACACACTGCATTATTCTATATCCCCATATATGTTCCTTTCATGGTTGTAAACCTAATCTTATTTCATTAGTTTTAATAAAAGGATCACATAAAGTACAAAAATCTGAAGAATATTACTTCTTATAAATCTGTTATGAATGTAAAAAGTGTTTGATAATGAAGTATGCGGCAAGTTTCTCAAATATTAAAAGGTTAGAAAAGTTTGTTCATCTTCACAATTCCCCTACATCCTTTACATCCCAAAGTCAGAACAAATTTTACGTCCTTTTTAAAAAATTCTATTTTGCCTTTCCTGCAACTCAGCGTTAAGTTTCTATGTTTAACTGATTCCCAAGAATTAAAAGCTCAATGAGAAGGAACAAGAAAAATAAATGTTATTTATTGAGAATCTGATACAGAGTCAAATATTTTATTCATTCAGTTAACAAATATTTATGAGCCTATCTTACTTAAAACTCAAACCGTTGTTCAAAATGCATATAATAATTTACTGTCTACAGATGAAGAATCCAAATTAGGTACAGAGCAGTTAGAAAAGTTGTTTGAAGCTTTAGGTACAAGGAAAGAGTAGAGCCGTAATGGAATTCCAACTTCACAGCATTTCATCCTTGGATACTGGGAAAAATATGTAAGCTGTAGCATAGAAGCATCACTACTCCATCAGCACTGTACTTGACCATCAATCTTTGAGGATTTAACTGTCTTTTTTTTTTCAGACAATTAATCATTAGATGTTATCCCCAAATAAATTACAAAAAATAGATATTATAGGGCAACCTCCAGTGTCCATGAATGCCAGTGAATGAACTGTCTTTAGGCTTGAATTCCATCTGGCTACTTAACTGGAGGGATCATCTGCTAAGGGAAGATGGAGATGCTGATTGGTGCCCTGGGCCCATTCAGTCAAGATCTTGCCAGTGCCTGCTGCACACACACTCTGCCCAGAGGCCTACAGTCAGCATCGATTTAACTGTCTTTTAAAAAATAAAACTCATTTCAAAACCATCTTGTAATTATAGTTTACAGTAAACCAGATGTACACTTGAAGCCTAAGATGTGGGTAATCTGAAAATGTTTAGACATTGTCATTTAACTGCTATGAAAGAATTGCCTTTTCTTTATTATTGAGGGGAAGAAAGCAGAAAATATACTGTACAATTTACTCATGAAATTTATTAGTAAAACCTAAAGTAGTTTTCTGAAAATAAAGTAAGAGGAAATAAAGTATTATATCTCATTACCTTACTATAATAGAAAAAAGAGTTTTAGTCAAGAACTGACAAGCAGTGAAAACACCAAGTCCAGAAAAATTCTCTCAAAATTAAAAAAAAAATTACTATCATGATCATGATACTTTCTCTGTACATATTTAAAAACAGAAACCCTCTGCCTTCTCTCCTTTATGTTGTAGAAGTTTCATCTCTTAGAAACACAAAACAAAATCATCCAAGATAGAAAGTATTTTAAAAGATTCAATTTTTTTGCACCTCTCTGCAATGCAAGTGCAATGAAAAATATTCTAAATCGAAAATGCTCCCAATTCACAATGATAAAGTAGCATAATGTAAGCAAATCATGCATCAATTTCAGATGTCATTTTATTCTGGAATTTCAGCTCAGTCTGAATCAAAATCATGAAGACAATTGAAATGAATGTACTCTTCTTTCTATTATTCATATTCATCTTATCATAATATTTAGAATATGTAGGTATCTTTGAAAGAACAGTGACAGAAAAATAAATAGGATTCATATAGATATTATTATAAGTTTACACATAATAAGCCCATAGGATTGTTTGAATTATAATATGTAGAATTTCAATAGATCAGGATTGATTCCTTTATTTGTTTAGTATCCTTGAACTGTTTGTATATAATTTTTTCTTGATCTAGAGCAGGAGTCAACAAACTTTTTCTGTAATCTTCAGAAAATAACTATTGTAGGCTTTGTAGGACAAACCATCTGTGTCACAGCTGTTCAGCTTTGTTCCCAAAGTAGCCATAGACAATATGTAACAATTGGGTTTGGCTGAATTTTCATAACACCTTAAAAAAAACAGCAGAGGAGCTGAATTTAGCCTGAGGGCCATAGTTTGCCAACCTCTAGTTTAGAGCTTTGAGGTTCTCAAAAAACAGTTGTTTGAGGCTTAGGGTCAAACAATCTAATTGCTATATTTACTTAGGTAGATTCAGTCTTTAAAAAAATTGCAATATTTTTAGAACATATAACTTAGAGAGTTACCAAAATACTAACTGTCGGAAATAGCGGTGACTTCCTCATTATGATACAACCAGCTGACAACAGGTGCAGGCGAACTGCTGACTCGGCAAACCACTTCTGCATTCTCTCCTTGTTTGAACTCTTGTGGAGACACCACTTCTCTGAAAGTGAGTTTTTCTGTATGAAGAAAGTAAAACAAATCATACAAGTATTATTGCTTATTTCTTCCAATAGCATATTTCAGAATCCGTGTTTATTGATGCTGTAATAAAATAATTAGGTAAATCTAGATCCTTTAAAACCTTAAACCAGATCATCTAATTCGCCTACCCAATAAATTCCATCTCACTGAGAATAAAATCCAAAGTCCTTACAATGCCACACTAGGTCCTGTATGAACTGCAGTCTGCCCCACAATTCTGATCCCAATTTTTCTTCTCTCCTCCTAGCTGCTGCTTTGGGCAGTTCCTTGAACACTCCAAATTTGTTCTCATTCTGGGGCATTTGCACTCTCTTAAATTCCTTCAACTTTCTGCTCAACCTCCACATACAAAATAGCCATCTCCCTACGTTTCTAAACCACTTAATTTCTTTCCTATAGAATTCTATAGCATATATATTTAAGCATTAGTTTTAGCTTACTTTTTGTCTGTCTCTACCCATTAAACTGTTGGCACCAAATGGCCAGTGATATTTTCGGTTTTAGTCACTAATGTCTTTAGGAATTAGAATATTGTCTACCATGCAGTAGACATACAATAAGTGTATTGAATGAATGCATGAATATTTATGCTTGATGAGAAATTTTCACAAAAGTAATTCATTGTTCTTGCTAAGAAAAAACAATTTTTTTTTTACCTTCACAAATAAAGCACTAGGGATCTTCCTTTGTATCATTTCAAAGGACACTTCTTTCCAGATACTAGTCTGTGAAATGATGATTTCAACCTTATTCTTAGTTATTTATGAAATTGGTACAGTAAACGGTCATATAAATAAGTAAAACATCTTTCCTTGAGGAGCTTAGAAACTAACAGGAGGGAAAGAAAAAAAAAAGTCAAATCAGGAAAAATAAGGGCAACAATACTCCAACAGATTGCCCCACTCATCTAAGAGGAAGCCTTGCTCTGGTGCTGCCTTGGCCTTTTTTCCCCGTATGCTATTTCTAGAATAACAAAAACAAAGCTATAAGGAAGAGATGTCTTATGAGCTAATATTCTAAAACTTTTTATAAATTTTCACTGGTAGAAATGCTAACTACCACAAATTAAGTGTAAGGCAAAGTTCTAAGCATGAAGTAATGTTGTCCTCAAAGCAACTCTATATATGATGTGGGTACTACAATTATATCTATTTTATAGATGAGGAAATTGAAACAGAGAGGTTATGCATTTGCTCAAGGCCACAGGTGTAAGTGATAGAGCCTGGTTTCAAACCCTGGGAGTCAATGAGCTTCAGTGTTCCTAAACAGGTTAACAATTCCTAAAAGTGAGAAGTTGGAAAGGAATGTAGGAAGCAATCAATCTCATGTCGTAAAATGAAGTGTAAGTGTAGAAAACCTTGCTACTAAAAATGCCTGGAGTTGAAGAATCTGGTTAGATGTTATTCTTCATTAGATGAGTTTTCAGTTTTTACTCTGTCTAAAGCCTGTCAGCTGACCCTTCCCCAGTTCTCATTCTAGATTGGTCACTGTAATCACATAGGTAATTTTATTTGTTCTAGTCATGGTCTTTTTTTTTGAAAGTGAAAAAAAGCACTCCCAATAAATTTTATATCACTAAATAAAGTACTGATTTCTATTTACCCAACAGATTCTTAATGGCATCAAAAAACTAAAACATTTTCATCTATATTATTTAACCAGAATTGGCTCCATCTATGTATTTATAATCCACTATAACCTATTATCGATTTTATTTTAGAGATGTACTGTGGTAAAATAGAAATAAGCTGATATCTGTAAAGGTCTCAGCACATTGTCCATCACATAGTTAGTTCTTAATGAGTGTTAGTTTCTATTGTTAAGTACATTTTAATTTGAATTTTTTTATAAGAACGTATAATTTCAATTAATAAAACTTATAAATACATGACTTACGGTAAATTTCCAAAACAACTGTGGCTTCTTGTGTCTGTCCTTTGGCATCTGTTGCTTGACAACGATATATCCCTGCATCTTCTATATTTGCGTTGTAGATGGTTAATCGTGATCTAATACCTTCCTTTTGCACTGATACCCTCTGTGTTGAGATTATCTTCTCTCCTTGAGGATTATACCAGTCTATACTCTCAGGTTCACCAATTGCTGCAAAGATCCATGGAAAAGAAATTTTGAAAATATGTTCAAAGTGTTTGTTTTGACACTGGCATTTACTATCATGTAACAACTTTAACAATTTAGAAAAAAATGTAAATGGAAGACTGGAAGTTTGAAAATCTTACAATATCGAAAGTAAACACAAATGCTAGCACACATGTTATCCTTATTTATCCAACATTGAGGTTTCAATCTCGTTTGAGTAACAAAACCCAGAGGAAACTTCCAGTGTGGTATTTAAGCTATGAGAGTGTAAACTTTACCATGGAAATCTATGGATTATTACTACACAAGTACTGAAAGTGCCTTGGCAACTGGGTCCAACATTAATTCCACTTAATAGGCATAATCTAAACAGAAACACGATTACTAACGTGATTTCACCTGCTCAGTTCTTTTTGCTAGGGTCAGAAAACAGCACTTTTTCCCCTGATACAGCAGAGCTCATAAAAACGTAAATCATTTATGAAATAAACTTTAGCTTTTGTTAATAAAGAATTTTGAATTAATTTCCCAAGTTGTTAAACTTGTATAGATAAGGCCAATGACTATTTTTTTTTTTTTTTTTTAGCACAGGCTCCGGACACGCAGGCCCAGCGGCCACGGCCCACGGGCACAGCCGCTCCACGGCATGTGGGATCCTCCCAGACCAGGGCACGAACCCGTGACCCCTGCCATCGGCAGGCGGACTCCCAACCACTGCGCCACCAGGGAAGCCCCAATGACTATTTTTTAAATGGAGCCCTAATCTTCTCTTTTCCCAATTGAAATGAGTAGTTTCACCATTTTAATCTAAAACTGTTAACTATTTAATCATATGATAATTAGAATGCATTGAAATGATACTTACAGTGCTAGGCAATTACAACCAAATCATTACAGGGTAAACATTTATTTAAGTTTTCCAATTCAGAATCTAGGTTATTATCCTCTTTGTAAAAGCTGAAGCTTCCTGTGTTTGCTTTTAGTCACCAAAAGGATGTATTTCACCTAATTACTTGAGAGATGATTTGTGGAAGCAGCATACATTATTAACTCAAAAGTATCAGGAGAAAATGCATAAAGTTATATAACATCTTCAGGACCTTTTTGAAGAAAATTATTCCTTCTCATTTTTTTTCCCCAAGATATGGCTTTAGAAACAAATTGTCTTCCTTCCTACATCAAATTAGACATGATGGAGAACAAAGTATGAAAGACGTTTAGTTAAATCTTAAATGAATCTTAGTTATGTTATCTTCAGTTTTTCTGAACAGAACCATAAAACCATAGTAGTTACAGGATAACTCATTTGGGGGAGGTATTTGTTTTAATTTCGTCCTCTATCGAGAACTTACAAAAGAATAATTTAAATGTGCATTACTTAAGTTTCAGCAATAGAAAACCTCACTTTACACAGTAAATTATACAGGATATTCTGTGAAATATTTTGGACATTTTCATTCTTAATGATATGGAATAAAATTTCATGGAGAGTTTATTCTGTATTTTCATAGAGCAGTCATATTCTCTATTTTCTGGCAACTCAAATAATAATTTCCAATAAAACTTTGCATGTTATTTTACTGAAAAGACTGGGCTCTTGGATTAGTTAATAAGTAGCATTAAACTTATTTTCTTGAAAATGTAATATAAAAATTCATTTGCTATACATAACACATTCTTATTTAGTTCTGTGAGGGTTTGACTGAACTAGGCTGGGTCCTGGGATCTGGGACACTTTGCTGCAGAGCTTGCACCTGAACAAACCTCTCCTGGAGCAACAATATACAAAGAAACTATAAGGGACTAAAAATAATTGCAAGCATGTCCAGCTGGGGCAAATTATGAACAAGATACAAAAAGACCAAATCCCAACTGCTACATCTGAGGTGCTGGGAGCAAAAGCATGGTACTATGCCGAATTATGCATGATTCCTGCACACAGCACCACCAAGAGGGTGGGCAGACCACTATACCTAAGCCAGCCCACCAGCCAGACCCACTGATCCACCATTACACTCATCCCATTTAAGGGATCAGCTCACTCCACCTCAGGGAGCGAGCAAGGGAACTTGTTACTTGTTTTCACTCCCTTGTGCTGCATCAAGAGTCCCTACAAAGCCCTGCCTGAATTCCCCCTCTGGCCTCTTACCAATTTCTGTTGATTAAAGAGTCCAAGAACCCAGGTCAGTAACATGACTAACTTCTAGTTGAATTTTAAGACATATTTATTTTATTGAGTTTTAGATGTCTGTGTTCAGGAAACTTTAGAATCATATCAACATAATCACCATTGTGATAGAAAAGTACATGCAAGCGTTTTGATTTGCATTGGTTTCCCACATCTTTATTTTTAGATTTTTGTTTTACTACTGTATTTAAGATAAATAAGGCCACTTCCATGACAACAGTACAGCTCTTGATTATACGTCTTTATATAAAAGGAAAAAATGTTTAATTGTTTTGCCTTATTGTTAAGAGCATAAAGCACCACTGAATGACGTTAATTCGTCCTTTTAAATTATGTCTTAATTTGACCTTATGAATTATATACATCATATAATTTATATCACAAAGATAATGTAAATCCAAGAAAATAATACAATTTTATTTTATTTTTCAATTCATTTTTAAACTATTTCATTATTCTGTGATCTTGTGATTTAATTGAGTTGTGTGTGTGCATTTGTGCACATAAAATATGGATAGGGTTTAGAAACAATGAACTATATTCTTATGCCAAAGCTGTACTGACATAGTAAATGATATTGAACAAGTCTCTCCCCTACTCTCTGCTTTTACATTTGTCAATATATAAAAACATGTGTCAACAAGACCTATCAATTCAGACCTTTATTAAGAAGGCAAATATGTGAAGAATCATGGCCTCAATTAGTTGTTCATATTATCTGATATTATTTTTAGATATGTTATTATAACTGCTTCTATTTTTTTAATTGTCATAATAATTTAAATAAGCCATGTCGTTCTGAAGACAACTTTTATAATGCATTTTATGTCAGAAATGCCTATTTAATCTGGTTTTGAATTGCTAAGTATAATCAGGAATGGAAACAATTTTAAAATATACTAAAAAGCAATTTTGGCACTAAATGAATATTTTTAAAACTTTATATATGAAGGCTTATATGCATGAAAATGAATATGATGAATTTAAATTTTGGCACTAAATGAATATTTGAAAAACTTTATATATGAAGACTTGTATGATGAAAATGAATACGATGAATCTAAATAGCAGTAGAATGTGCTCATTTGTGAGTTTTACAATATGTTGAATAGGAATTTGTTGCTTAAGTAGTTAATATCTTCTAGAAGAATTCTACATGTGCATGATTAAACTAGATGAGGTCATAATAATTTCCCATAGGCATTATGATATATAATACTTCTAATTAATAGTCACAAAAATCTTGCAAAACCTTTGCTGATTAAATATCTACTTTTTAAAGGTCACTTTTCATAAGGAAGGATGTGATATGCTTTGTCCTAAACTTTTCATTGAAATGAAACTATAATGCAGGGTGCCATATCTAACTTATTCATAGCATATTTACGAAAATGGTTAAATTATAACATTTACATTCATACTAAGGTTACTATTTAGATAGAAATAATATTTAAATTGATGTAAAAGTTATGCATACACTATATTTGATAAGTTATTTTCAAAATAAATAATCTAGTTTATTTAGTGGTCAAAATTAGTAACTTGAAAGCAACAAATAAAATTCAGTGTTTAATATGTAAAATATGTTCATTAACACTTTTCCAATCATTATAAGCCCAATGATAATATACAATTTTATTTCTAGAGAATTGACATTTAACTACTTAAATTTAGTCAATATATTATATTAATAAAGAATAAAACAAGTTATCTGAAAATATTTGTAGAAATACATACCTGTACATGTGAAGAATTTAGATTCTCCCACACTAAGCTCTACTTTGCTAAGTGAAATTGTCACTTGAAGAAGAGCTGAAAAAAATATTTGAGTAAAATTAATTATGGTTTTAAACATGAATGCTAAGATTTTAATACATGGTGTCTATACCACATGATTGAAATAGCAATTATTTACCCTCTTATGCTTTTATTACATGTAAAGAGAAATGAAAGTTTTGTAAAATACAATTTAACAAATTATATACATTATATTATTATGCACCTTACAAACAGACCAAATACAGGACTTATTCAAGCTATGTTGAAATTTTTATTTAAGAAAATGATCAAATTCATAGACAGCTGTTCCACATTCACAGACTAGGCATTCTGTGTACTACCAGATTGGACAATAGCTACATAAAATTTTTGCTCAAATTTTGTAAACTTGCTTAAAAAGAGTAAATCCTACACTGTTATTACAACAATTAAAAATTTAAGTCAAATACTTTTTGACTACCTACTAAAATATTTCCATGAAAGGAGACAAACAGGTCTTCCCTGGTGGCGCAGTGGTTGAGAGTCCGCCTGCCGAGGCAGGGGACACGGGTTTGTGCCTTGGTCGGGGAAGATCCCACATGCCGCGGAGCGGCTGGGCCCATGAGCCATGGCCGCTGAGCCTGTGCATCCGGAGCCTGTGCTCCGCAACGGGAGAGGCCACAACAGTGAGAGGCCTGTACCAAAAAAAAAAAAAAAAAAAAAAAAAGAGACAAACACAGGGAAGAGAGGGAGTACTACCACATAAGGAAAGTGGAATAAGCATTTTTTTTTCCACATGATAAATAAGTTAAGTAACCAGGGCAATGGCAATAAAATAGAGAAGATGTTCAAAAAGTTTGTTGTCAAATTTGAAATAAAACAGCTGAATATCCTAAAACTTTAGAAGATAATTAAAATTATGTTTTAACATAAATTAAAAGATTTATGTTTCTAATAATATGGTGGACAAGATAGTGTTACCACTCCCCAAAACCCTGTTCCACCATCCTTTTCCCCCCGAAATACATAGCTAGCCTTTCAGGAAAGTAATGGTGCCTCAAGGGGAAAAAAAAAAGAAGAAGAAAAATGTAAAACCTAGAGTACAAGCCTACACTGGGAATTTGTGGATTATAGTAACTGAAAGGCTCACAGATTGCAGAGAATGGATCCAAGCTTGGCTAGAAGAGGGGATGCTACAGAATACCACCAAACACTAGACCAGATAAGATTCACCCTTAGTATAAGAAGGGTATAGAATAAATTAGCCTACTGACAAAAGGGAATGACAAGGAGAGTTGTCTTTTCTGGCCTGTGTAAAGGACAAATGTTTCTTCTTAAATAGGTCATGGTTCTTCCATATCCCAGGTTTGGGATTTTAAAATTGTAGATACATGTTCCTTGGGAAACCCCAAGCTGAAAATTAAATTTAAAAGCACTCTCACATGTAGGGCTCACAGCTAAGTGGCAGAAGCAAACATAAAATCCCTTCAGAAAATTCAGAAGACCTATCTAATAGTCCCAGACTCCCCAAGATTTTCATAAATGAACCTCTCTTTAACCTAAACTCACATTCTGACATTATAAAATACATGGTGAAATAAGGCACTGTGAGCAAGAATTAGTTGAAATAACCTAGAGGAGAAACAGACCCATGAAATTTCAAAACACGGAATTAGACTAAGAATGTAACATAGCTATGTTGACAATGTTTAAAGAAATAAAATGTGAAATCAAAAAATATGAGAACAGAAGAAAATATTTCTCAAGAAAAACTTGTCAAACATGCTATTTAAGCTCTTTAAAATATTTCCTTGAACATCCCATACTTGACTGATAAATTCCTTCTTTTTCTGGAAACCTCCCTGAGAAACAGGATGGGTTGCATGGCTATCTTCTCTCATGTCGGTCTTGGTCCTATTTTTATTGATAATTTCATCAACACTCAGAAGGTACTTGGCACATTATAGGGGCTCAAAAAGTGTTCTAGTAAGTCTAATATTTCAGAGATAAACATGTAAAGAAGAGCAAAGAATTTAGAAAGAATAAGGAGAAAACTAGAAGAAACAAGAGAGTGTCTACTATAAACAATGTCAATTCTAGTGAGAATTGACAGAAGAGGACTTTTTCTTTGAGAAGTAACAAATCCCCTTGATGAACTTACTTTAAGTGTAATGAGGACAACAGAGGCAAATTGCAGAAAAAGTCAAGGAATTTGAGATTGTCCTCTTAAGAAACTTGAATCTGTAAATATGTACAGGGTTTTGGGGATCCACAATTCTGGGCATGTGGTCAGGAATTTTATAAATTGGGGAAAGTTTACTTATACTTATGGATAAAAGGGAAAGAGGCAGAAAAGAGGTTATGTTGTTGAAGGAAAAAAGGGAATTGTGATTCAGTTTCGTATTCCGTTTTCACTCCTCTTACTTTCTCCTTTAAGGCATCATCTTTTTTTTTTTTTTCTTTCTTGCGGTACGCGGGCCTCGCACCGCCATGGCCTCTCCCGTTGCGGAGCAGCAAAGGCTCCGGACGCACAGGCTCAGCGGCCATGGCTCACGGTGCCCAGCCGCTCCGCGGCATGTGGGATCTTCCCAGACGGGGGCACGAACCCGCGTCCCCTGCATTGGCAGGGGGACTCTCAACCACTGCGCCACCAGGGAAGCCCAAGGCATCATCTTATTTCATGGCATCAACTTCCTTTTCTCTTTGGATCTTTAGTCTGTGCTTTCCCAAAGTCTAATCCTGCAATTTCTAATCCTCAACTAGCATTCAATTGGATAGCATATTTTAATTTCAAACTCTCCATGTGCAAACTAAACCCTTCCCCTTCCACCAAAAATTGCTCACTGTTCACTATTCCATTTTTGTTCATCACCAATCAATTGTAGTCTTGGATATAACCTCTGAAACATTACTTGTATGCATTATTGTTTATTTCCAACACTGTTTCCCTAATACATGTACTCATTAATTTTAACCTGAGATATTTCTTTTACTCTGAGATAGTGATGTATCAAATTCTATATTTCTTTTTCTGACGTTTATCTCTTCAATGTTTCTTCCCATGGGAGCATTTTTCAGCCTGCTGCAAGCATACGTTTCTAAAACTGTTCAATTTTACCTGCCTACTCAAAAATCTTCAAAGTGCATTTGCTTTGTCCAATTAATTATCAATATTATACACATTTTCATAGAAAGAAAACTAACTTTTCCAAGTTTATTTCCAATTACTCCTTAATGCTTTTGTGGCTATAGACAGCTACAATTAATTGTCCCCCACTTCCCCACTGACTCACACTTCCTCACCAATGTGCATTTGCTCAAAATATTTCCTTTCCCTTCATCTCCCTTTCTCTTATCTCTCCATCGCTGGCTACATTCTATCTTCAAAATAAAACTAAAATATCAATAAATTTACAAAACATTCTTGGATAGTTCCATCTATAATATCAACAAATAAATATCTTTGATCCAGAGACATGTTCACTAAACAAATGAAACGTACATTGTTGTTAATGATATTCACTTCTCTACTATATTTAAATGTGAACTTTTAGAAGTGAAAGTTCATCACCCTCACTTCTGTTTCTCCTAAACTGATAATATATAAATGCATGGCAGAATAGTGAACACTTACCAAGAGCTTATTGTACACTAGGTACAGAACACTGACAGTATTGACAATATAAAATTTTGGAATTACTTCATTGACTTAAATTGAATTTAAAGATACCAGAGGTTTTGAGAAATATCTGCCAATTATTACTTAAGTAATTCCTACCTTTGACCTTTGGAGTTTACAGAAAAGACAAAACTTGAAAGATGTAGGCATTTTAAAAGTCAAATACAGTTCTGAACAATTTTACGCAGATTTGTATAATAAATAACTTACATTCATTGCAATAAAATGAAATTAAGCCTGAAATTAGTTAATTTGTATTAAAATACTTGGCAAATTTTTTATTCAGTACAAACTATCAATTCACCCATTAATCAAGACCATATTTTTATGGGCATTTTGGTGTCAGGGCACATGGCTATAAATCAGGGATTAAAAGTATATACTAAAAAGAAAACATAATTCTCTAGTTTAATACATTTCCCAAAGGCTAGATTTGCTCTAACTGACCTCTACAGATACATTAAAACATGTGCATATTAGGAAAAACTTGAAGAACTAAAATTTAAGGTCATGCCTTAATCATTGCTCTAGTGATTTAACATCATTTCTTGTGATCATTCCTGACCTGTGGCCACCTCCAACAGACTCATTTTGGACCCAAATGTCAGAAGAAAATGAAATAATTTTCTAATGCCAAAAGTTGTATTCAGAGAAAGCTGGGCAGGACTGATATATTTATATCTATCCAGTTAATCTCTCATTCATTTCTGATGTTTCAATTTAGGCACAACAAATGAAAGTGGATGTGATGTGGGGCCTTTACGTCATTTAGAAAACAAAAGATACTAAATATTTCTAATCAAAATTTCTATATAGGATTGGGTGGAATTCTAAAAATAGAATGGCATTCACTGATGCTGAAAAATCTAATTTTGATATTTTACTCTTCTTAGGTATTTGGAATAGATATAATAACTTTGAAGAAAATTGAGAAGGATATATATAATATTATATAGATTGAATCACTTGATATTAGCAACATTATTGATTAAATGATGGCATTACTTAAAACCAATCAATAAATCATATTTTTGTATTAGAATTGGGATTGGATAGTCAGTATCTTCGCAGGAGATTCTCATTAAAGTAAGAAATCATTTTAAAGCCATAGACTGAAAAGTTAGAGGCATGATAAATCTGTCTTTTTTGAACTATCCTCAAAGAAATATATGTAATAATAACCTTAAATGTAGAGTTGGGTAAATTAAAAATTGTTTACCAAAATCAATAAATATTTATTGAATTTTTCAAATCACTCTTTTCGGATACTATGGTACACAAAAATAATAAGTTACAATTCCTAATGTCAAAGTATTTCTAATTTATTTGGTAAGGCAACAACACTACATAAAAAGAAGAATGATAAAACAAGATGATGTTTATCAGTTATGACCATTATGAGATTTATGACCAAGAATGCTGGGGCTTCCCTGGTGGCGCAGTGGTTGAGAGTCCGCCTGCCGATGCAGGGGACGCGGGTTCGTGCCCCGGTCCGGGAAGATCCCACATGCCGCGCAGCGGCTGGGCCCGTGAGCACAGGCTCAGCAACCTGTGCTCCACTAACGGGAGAGGCCACAACAGTGAGAGGCCCATGTACCGCAAAAAAAAAAAAAAAAGAAGAAGAATGCTGATCAAGAGGTCAATAAAACTTGAAAAAAAAAGTTGGAATAGATGTTGTAATAAAAGGACAGAAAGAGGGTAGATATTCCAGGTAAGGCAAAAAAGTTCAAGGAATATTCAGGGAATAATTAGTAGATCAATATAGATGAAGTTGATCCCATGTAGAATATTGGTAATATAATTGGAGAAATAGTTTTGAAAATACATTGGAGGATCTCAAATGCCATGGTAAAATTTCTGGACTTAAATTTTTGTCCAATAATTATTTATAAATAGAAACCAACATGACAAAATTGGCATTTAGTAAAGATTAGTCAGAAGATAGGATGGCTGACAAATTGAATTTAGGGGAAAATTTAGGGTATGTTATGGTGAGTATCTGAGTTGGCTGGTGGAAAAGAACATGGAAAGGTAGGAATGGATGTAACAAAAAAAGTGAAAATAGGAGTTATCTCTGGATCAATTAGAACATGACTGAAAAAGGGAAAAAAGTCAAAGTTGTTAAGGTTTTCTGCTTCAGTGAAACAAGTGTCACCAGCGTAAAGAATTTCAGGAATAGAGGAAAAAATATGGAGCCATAATTTATATCATAAATGAAAATTACTTCTCAAAATAGAACATAGACAACATTTTAACAAAGATAACTGCTATTATAACAAAGCTTAAATTAATATTTGTAATTTAAGTAAGCATGCAGATTAAATAGCAGATATTCAAAGGGGACTTTCTTAATTTACAGGAATATAAATAGAATGAAGCGATTGGCATTGCTAAGTTCCATCAAGGGACCTAGAGAGCCCACTGTAATTTGATACAATATTTAACAGTGGCATTTAAAGTGGTCAGTTTATCACCTGCAGAAATTTAAAAACTGACAACTTAATTAGTCTACTACATGCCTGACACAAAGCAGAGTTGAATTCACTTAAAATTCTAACAGACATGCACAGATAACTTAAGGCACTGATTTATTTTTGTAGGATGACTTGTAACATTTATAAAGCAAGAAATTTTTTCCTTTGGCTTCCACATCAAGGGAGTTAAGAGAATTAAGATATCTAATAATTATAAAAACTCTCAGAGTCTTACTCATAAAAGGTTCTTATAAATTACTGATTATATCAAATGAATATGATTTCCTCATTTTTTCATTGAAAACTGTACCCACTTTTAAACTGTACCTACTTCAAGAAAATTATGTATGTAATTTATTAATTACTCACTTTTTTATTATTAAATTTTCATGTCCATATATTAAAACAGTCTATGTGTGATCTAATTGAATTTTTTTTTAATTGCTACAATGTTCAAGAAAATTCAGAACTTTTGGAACATTTAAGAGAGAAATACTCCATCATCAAATGTTTTAGGAACTCTGACAATTGTGAACATTTGATCAAAACTATTTTTTAGGGTCTTCCCTGGTGGTGCAGTGGCTAAGAATCTGCCTGCCAATGCAGGGACATGGGTTCCAGCTGTGGTCCGGGAAGATCCCAAATGCCCCAGAGCAACTAAGCCTGTGCACCACAACTACTGAGCCCGCGTGCCTAGAACCCATGCTCCTCCACAAGAGAAGCCACCGCAATGAGAAGCCCACGCACTGCAAAGAAGAGTAGCCCCTGCTCTCCGCAACTAGAGAAAGCCCACGCTCAACAATGAAGATCCAACGCAGCCAAAAAAATAAATAACTTTTTTTAAAAAACTATTTTTTAAATAAATTGCTTCACCTAAGTTTACAAAGACAAAGTTAAACATTTTAGTATAATTCCTTTTCATCATTGTACTTTTTTCGTATTTGAACTCAGTTGTCTTCAATCTTCCTGTACGAAGTTAGGAAAACAAAGTCTCAGTTGCTAGATCACGTGGGTCTTTTTAAGAGCAATTGGTCTACCTCCTTAATGCTTCTCTTTCTATTGACTCCTTCCTGTTAAGCTATAGACACTACAGCTTCCCATCCTAAAAAAATATATAATAATAATAAATGAAACAAATGAAAAAGAAAACAGAACAGCCAAATAATATAAAGAGAAAAACCATCTGTTTGCTTCTTGTCTCTCAAATTACTATGGTATATTCTACTTTGCTTCATTACATTATTTCCCCCAAAAAAAAGGAAAAAAAAAAGAAAGAAAAAAAGAACACTCCAGGTCCCCATTTTTTATTCTATCACAAATTACTCTTTATTCTCCATTCAACTAACAAGCTTGCTGCTCCTAAGGTCAACCACAAACTTCTAGTTTTTAAATCCAATAACAATTTTCAGATTTCTTTTTACATTTGATTTAATAAAGGATGAGATACTGCTGATTATTTTGTTCTTTACTGGTCCCATTCCTTGATCCCTTACATATTTATTCTCGACTCCTTTTTCTGATTATGGTATTTCTATTTCAGTCTTTTTGGTTACATCTCTTTTTCCACATGTACCTTAAATATTTGTGTTTCTTAGTAATCTTTTACTTATTTTGTTTTCTTGGAATTCTGTATACCTTCTTCTACTTTGAGCACATGTGTAATACTATTTTCTATATGCAGAGCACAGGTTTAAGCAGTGTACCTAAAATATCTCATTTAATCCTTAAACAGTCCTACTAAGTAGATATTTTCATTCCTATTATAAAGATAAGAAAAGTGAGGCAAAGGATGGTGTCAGGACTTACTAAAGGTCACTCGTCCAATGTATATGGTGAAGTCAGATTTGAATCCAGCCATTTGTGCCCAGTGTCTGTGATCGTAACTATTTCCTATAACCTTCATTAAAAAAAATAATAATGCCCAGTATAATCTGGGCTATTATAAGCCCTCAAACAAAAGTCAGTTTCTATTTGCCCACGATTCCATCTCCTATATATTAAAAGTTAAGAGAATTTAAAAAAACTTTTCTATTTCTCAAAGTCAGCATATTAAAACTCAAGATATGCTGTCTTAGCCCATGCTTAATCTTTACTGTAAAAAAAAAAAAAAACTTTCCTAATTCTCAAAGTCGCCATATTAAAACTCAAGATATGCTATCTTATCCCATGCTTAATCTTTACTGTAAATTACCCTATTATTATCTATTGAATCTATTTTGCCAGAAAAAACCAGAAATATCTAAAGTTCTCTCATTCTTGCCCTCATTAATAGAAAACTCATAAAGTTCATTCTTCCTTTAAATATCTCTCAAATCTGCTTTTGTTTTGCATCCTCATTGCTTTAGTTTTATTTCTCACCACTGTTAGCCTGGTATAGTGAATGATCTATAAAATTGAACAAGGTCAGGTATTGGGTTGATCAGAAAAATCTGAGGGTGTGTGTGTGTGTGTGTGTGTGTGTGTGTGTGTGTGTGTGTGTTTATGTATGCATGTGTTTTGTTTTGATTTGCTTCTGGCCCCATTCCTGAAAATTCTGATTCAATATATCTGATGTAGGGCCTAAGATTTTCTATTTTAAGTAGCTTCCAGGTGCTAAGCATTGCTATGTAGAATGTAGTTGCCAGTCCAAAACCATTGACCTCAATTAGGAACTTGTTTATAATATAGGATCTCAGGTTTTATTTCATACTGACTGAATCATAATCTATAACTTAATAAGACCCCCAACAGTTCCATGTGCACATTAAAATGTGGTCAACACTGGGTTGTGACAATCCAACATGTTTATCATTCGTAGTACAATATATTTCCCGTTGAGTAGGATAAAATCCAAACTTTCACACTTGACATGAAAGATATTTAACAAGCTGGATATGACTTAATTCAACTTTATTTCCTGCCACATTCCAAGTATGGGAGAAATCAAATCGAAACAAAACACACACAATAGTTAAATATCAAGAAACTCTGCAAATAGGCTCTATTTTCCTATTTCTTTTTGAATTGTTTTTTTTCTTATTCAATAGAGCCCTTCTCCTTTTTCTCCTCAAAGGGCACGCTTATTACTTTCTATTAAAGACTTATATGAGTCCTCCTCCAGGCAGTAAACCACACACTTCAATGTCTTCTAAAACCCTGCAGTATTTTCTCTTAGAGCACTTAAAATATTACAGTGATGTATGTTAATAAGTATTTTATAATTTTTAAATTCTTCATATGCAATTATATAAATATATGCAATTTATAAAATGTTCAAGTCAACTTATTGCTATTTTATTTTAAATTAATGTAAAACTGAGGAAGGTTGTTTATTTTGAGTTTCTGTACTATTTCCCAGTAGCAATTAACATGTACTCAATTTTGTTCACACATCTGTTTCTCCACCGGACTATATATACCAGCAAAGCCCACAACAATTCCTGGGAAATAAAAATAGAATCTGTGTAACAAAGTCTAACCTTTTTTTTCCTTTGTGCTTAGTCTAATTTCACCTGTTCATAGGGTACCCTGTGCAGAAGGCTTGCATCTGGCATTTCAGACCAGAATTCCCAATGTGAAATTGCTGCACCTGACGCTTCAGTTGGCTGACACTGTGCAGAAATGCTGCACCCAGCACTCTGATCTGGAGTGCCCTGAGCAACACAGCTGTGCCCAACAGGCAAGAGTGCCACCCCTTCCCCTGCTGACAAGAATCCTATAAAGCATCCCCACCAACGGCCTTTTGCAAAGAGTGTGTACTCTAGAGCATGAGCTCACGCCTCTACATTCTTTGATCAAAGAATAAAGCTTTCCTTTGTTTCTGAACCAAACTTGATCTCTTCTATTTGCACAAGCAACATCAAGAAGGACTCTTATTGGGGATCAACTCATTGGAGGTTTGGGGGAGGGGATTGGTAACAAATTTTTGACAACCCAGATGGGACTGACTGTGGCCCTTCTGCCTGCACTCACCCACTAGACTACAGACATGCTCAAGCTTCAGCAG